AGTCATATGTCATTTTTGTCTAATCACTCCAAAATGCTCAAGGATTGAACCACAAAAGTTAATATGCAGTTCATCCCACTGGGAACCTGCAGTTCAAAGCACGGTTTGAGTTTTTTGAATACCATCGTCAATTTCACTGCTGGATGCAATTCCTCCAAATCAGCAAACATAACCTGGATCAACTCCTTCAAGTACTCCGATTTTTGATATTCACTGTCAGAGTGGGATGAGGGCAGACATATCAGGGGCTGAATGATCCTGAGATGGGTGCTGAGTCAAGCCACGTGGAAAAAGTCTGAAGTGTTGATTAGCGTTTGTTGGAATGAGTAATTGAGTCTTGGAACGACGGGTGTGGTTTGAGGCGAGCTCATGGAGACTTCGCTTATAAGAGGTTTGCTGTGCTTTGAAAAATTTGGTGTTTCTAGAGAGCAGTACCCAGCGTCTGAGTTAAGGGACACAAAAAAAGAGCCTGGAATGGTGCCGCCGTGAGGGGCGAGTAAGATCACAGAGAAATATCATCTGACAATCACGCAGTGCTTCCTTGTCTCGATTGTCAGGTTGACACTCATCTTTCTTCTACGCAATCTCAGCTGGACACCCCGGAATGCTACTCAATTACAACTGGTTTTCGAATTCCCAGCAACAAGGATAGTTTTTTTTTTTTTAAAAAAAAAAAAAAAAAAAAAAAATTTTTGAGCGTAGAACAGCCTATCTGATCTCAATTTACTCCTAGGCCGCTAAAGTTTCCAGGCATTCATTGATGTAGTGTGTTCATCACATTAGATGTGAGATAGCAATGTCATTGATATTGATATACTGGATATCAAAATTCAATGTCAGCTTCCTGAACACCCAGGAATGTAAATATCAGTGCGCGACTAGACCTCCCGTGAATGGATAAATTGGCCTCCCAGCCAACTCTCCTCGTAGGAGGTCTGTTCTCCCCAATTTCCCCACTCTCTGGCTGTGCGGCTGGCGTGTAGGAGACCCCTTCTTCCCCTCAAGCTAACCATGACCCTAATTCTTTATCAAGTCCCATGCTCATACCCACACTTAAAGCCGTGTGACAGAGCTGCCCAGCTGGAACACACACATCTAATCCCCTGGTTGGATTGGCTTATTAGTTTCTATCGTGATGTTGATATCTCCCTGCCTCTAAGCACGCAGTGAAGATTCCTCAATCTGAGTATAATTTTTTATGAGGTGGTTTCTTAGAAAATGCTCTGAACCAAATCAACAATTGCAGGATGTATAATTGGGTTGGATTTGCGGGTAGCTTCTGCTCCTGTTCCTTCATGGGATAGCCACAACGGGAAGGTTTGGGGTTGGGTCACAATCACCTCAGTGGCGTATCTTTGAAAAAAATGTTCAACAGGATGAATTCCCCCCCAGTGGTATGGGATATATCGAGTCGATACTGGAGTTGAGAATACTCCCATCCCTGCGTCTGACTTGCACAAGTGGAGTCATACTCGTAGTCCAGGTTATCAAACCAAGCCCCCAATTTGAAATCACAGTTGTTCATAAAGTATATAGCTCAGAGATTCTCAGAATTTCAGGCGGTAGCGGACATGTTTTTGCACGTTTGCAAAGTAGTTAACGGGCTGTACGAAAACACCTTCAGACTGTATATTTTGGGATTTAGCATTCAGGAAAATCGTCACAATCACCATCCTCTAAAGCTAAAATAATTTCAATCCCGTCATTACTGAACAGATAAGATTCCTACGACCCAATTCACAGTTATTGCCAACATTTGCACCGATGGATGATCACCTGACCTCGGCCTTGAAATTTTAATTCGCGAAGTCACCAGTCATCGATGGAGAAATCAAGCTCCGACGTCTGGTTGTTCCTGGCGCCTTTCAAACTGTTCAATAAGAAGGAAAATCTACACGTCCTTTGGCATCCAGCACGTTATACACTGGAATATAGGCTGTTGTAGGAAGCCTTGGATAATCGACAAGACTGGTGGGCAAGTTTTTTTTTTGCGTTAGAAGTTGATGTCAGAGTTTTCTGCGGCAACGCTGCTTCAAGGGGTGAAGAAATGCAGGCGGGGTCAATATTATCAAACAAAAGACACTTGATTTTAAGCTCAAAATCGTGAGCCTGTTATTCAAACCTTGGCTACGCGAGTCGTTGCCCTTGTGGGAAAAGTCAGCGCGCAGGATTTTGAACATTGTCATCTAGAAGCGTGTCGTCCGAGATGTAACAGTCCAGACGCGGGACATTTGTCAAATTTCAAGAATAAAGCGTAGATTTTCTTTTCAGACATCAAAAGGAAAATCCCTTATCTACATCTACATGACTGAAAAAGCCCTGTTGTCGAGGAGATTGAGAATGGCGTGCGTTGGATATGAGGCTTGGATTTAAAGTTGGTAAATCCATAGTTTAACCGCGGGAGCTAGCTTCAATAGGTTAGTATATATATATATATATATATATGCATTTAAGCTTAACGAGACAACCGACCGACCCGCAAAATAGTTAACTTAATTTCTCGATCATATTATCTAATAATTAAGTCTGATTTTTCCCTCTTTAATCCTCGCGTTAAAAAAGTTCTCTAAAAAAAAAATAAAAAAATAAAAAATAAAAAAAAAATCAAACATGCTTCTTCCTCAAAGGCTATTAATGTATCAAATGACAAATGTCTTTTAAAAAGAAAGGAACCATCACGATCATCAGATATCAAACCGAACAATCAACTTCAAAGATCGAATGTTCCATAAAATGCGAAATAAGTAACAACAATCGGTTCCCCCAAATTATCTTCCTCCTCCATTCTAAGCACCCAAGGAGATACTCCGCCTTTCTCTCCGTTTCTTATCGTTTCTCATAGGGAAGATAAACACGTCTCCACATGAAGGGTCATGTCGTAAAACAAACATTTGGGCAAAGTTAGAAAATGGAGAATAAGGAAAATAATGCTAAAGGGAGGTGAAATTAATATAACAGGGTTTTTTTGTTGGGGCTGGAGGATATGGGGAATGATTAGGGCATGCATTAACCGATGTTGTCCTTGGCCCCTTTGCCTTTTATTTTTCAGTATATATTGTCCAAAAGGGACAGGTTTGAGTTGGGCTGAATTGGAAGAGAGGATGATCAATATATTAAGAAGGAAAATTAGAGAAACGAACAGTATAAAGAAACACAGAAATGGTGGGAGAGAAAAGAGATGATTATTGATTATCCTTCCACTCCCTGCCCATTTCCCCCCTTGTTTTGCCTGTATGTTTGATTTCGCTGTCGGATCGAGATCGTGAATATTAGTTCTTATATGTTTGGGTGAAATCTTTGACACTATCAAAATGGTGTTTGGGGAATTTACCTTGTGTTAGCTAGTAACCCTCGTCTAATATTTGGTATCGTACTTTTTTGGGGCATCGTCCTTCTTGCCATCATATCCGTCATGTTTCTTTCCGTCGTCGTACTTTCCGTCATTACCATCATCGTACTTTCCGTCATCGTACTTTCCGTCATTGTACTTTCCATCATCCTTCTTCCCGTCATTGTACTTTCCATCATCCTTCTTCCCGTCGTTGTATTTTCCGTCGTTGTATTTTCCGTCGTCGTATTTTCCGTCGTCGTATTTTCCGTCGTCGTATTTTCCGTCGTCGTATTTTCCGTCATCCTTCTTTCCGTCATCGTATTTTGGGTATTCTTTCTTGGCAGTGACTGTCTCGACCTTCACAACGGTGGTTGGCACAGGGTAGGGCTTTCCTGGCTCTGTGATGGTTTGGTAGTGGGTGACGGGCTTCTCATGGACAGCAGTCTTGGTGACAGTGATGTGCTTGTACTCGGTAAGAGTCACAGCCTTGGTGTGGAATACGGTGACTGGCTTGTATTCGACTTTCGTTACCGGCTTGTAGTCTGTTATCGTCACGGTCTTGTATTCGGTCTTGTATTCAGGCTTGGTCACTGTTGCATACTTGGTGATCTCCTTGTATTCGGTGACTGGTTTGACCATTGTCTTGTACTCGGTCTTGTACGCGGTCTTGTAGTCTGTCTTGTATTCCGTTTTGTAGTCCGTTTTGTAGTCCGTCTTGTACTCGGTCTTGTACTCCGTCTTATACTCAGTCACTGTGACCGGTTTTGGCGTTTTATAATGGTCATCTCCGGGAATGGGATTCGCAGCAGCAAGGCTGAATCCATGTCAGAGCCGTCAAATATCAAAGTGCTACTTAAAAAAACGGAAAATACATACCTAGCACCTAGAATGGCGAATTGGACAATCTGATTCATGCAAACCATTTTGAATGCTTAACGTATATATCAAACGATATATATGCTATGTGTATTGAATAAACAGGAGACAATAATCAAAAGGTATAATTTGCCTTTTTTGGGAGGTAATCAGATTGGTGATTGAACCCAGTGACGATTGAAGAAACAAAAATAATAGAATTCAAAAGGCGGTTATGCATCCCTTATATAGAGCTACGGTTAGATTTGGAAAGCCCAGACATGTCAACCCAGCCATCTTCTAGAGTGCAGATTTTGCAGCAGAATATGCAGAGAAACCAGACTCTTCAGTACTCTTCCCGACTGAATCTGGTTTCTGTGAAACAGTATAGAGAGCATTGTACTCAGATCTCTAGCTTCGTTTAACCCAGTTGGGCGGTATCGCTGATGGCCAAGCGCACTGAAGATTTTTCTCAAATCCAGTAGGCTGAGAACATATTCGAATTGTATGACGGGATACTCATTAATGAAAAAGCTTTGCAGTTACCAAGCGTTGCTATGGTAATGGTCTGGAAGAAAACCAGAATTGATCGCAACTATAGTGCGCAAAAGAACTTGTTGTCAGTTTCTGGTCTAGACGGGGTTTACAACAGATGTTGGAAATCGTAGGGCAGTATTCCACTCAGACTGTGCAAAAAGCCAGAATTTACCGCACCCCTTTACACATCATCCCCTCGATCAAGTTTTCAGTTGGATGTCTTCACGAGCTAGTTGTGGGCCAGTTGAGATGGAGCTACCTCCTCGACGTAATCTAAATGCAGCGTCCTGGGAAGAGCAGTCTGAGTCGAGAGGATCTCAATGGCAGGGTTCTAGAGCGGACAATCAAGGTAAAGAGCTCCGACCCAAGCTTCCCCTCACGTGGCTTACACTATTGGGAGGTAATTTATGTACATGGAAATGATCAGTCGGGCCAGAAGCGCAGACGAAAGACACTGACAGCATGCAATGTGTACGGCGAGCAACAAGATCTTGTTGATCACCAGTCCGAGACCTAGGTTTTGCCCAAACAAAGCCACAAGAGCACTGGCCATGGAAAGCTATCGCCGTTGGGTGCTACACTTAGGGGCCAGGTCTGAGAGCTTGAGGTTGTCCAACCCTGGTACCTTCACTCGATATTTCGAACCTAGGAGAAGGCCCCAGCGTGAGACGGGAAGAAAAGTTCACAAATATCACAAAAATGCCTGTAGTTGTTGGCAAAAATAATCTCATAAACCCAGCACAATGGACATTTCAAATAGGAACCCACTTGTCTTGGGGGTACAGGCCAAGTAACGCAAAAATTGTGATACCGACGTGTGGTACTCTCACACGGTTTCTCCATGTCTGGCGATGAAGTCGATGTTATGTGACTGAATCCTCATAGATGCTTATGTGCTCGGACAACGACGTTGTTTGGTTCTTTTTCGGTAAACTTCATATGGTAATGCAGTAGTACATAGACATGGTATCCGCCAAGGGTACAGAAAATGGCTGCTGGTTACAAAACGTGGAGGACAATGTCACAGGCAACATGGAATGCAGAAAACGACAGCGGAGTGACATGTAAGGACATGGATTATTCGAGGAAAACTTGACTGCTAGAATAGAAGGTCTATATACGACATAAACCAGACATCAGTTTAACACCGATTATATTCGATCCTTGAGGCGATGGATAGGTAAAGACGAGACGAGGAACATTGAAGATAAAAAGGGGATCAGGCTGACTAAGACGTCGAGCAAACTTCTAGCAAGACTTTTACTAGATCGCATTGACTCAAGGTAGAGACCACATTTCTCCATATCATACGGAGCACTACATATCATATATCCTATTGCACATCTTCACTCCCGAGAGAACTGGGTGGTTGCTTATTTCTTATGTCCAGGCACAACCAAAAGCGCACCATCCTGAACGAACCATATCATTTCGCCAGTTAATAAATGACTGCTCGGTTTCTACCTTTGACCTAATGCAAAAATTGAAGGGTGTAGGGTCAATTTTGAAATAATCATTGAGCTTCAGTTTATTAGGATATTAGAGAAGTTTTTATTTTATGCTTGACCAATAAAACTGCGCTATATGCATGATACAGCACGCTTTGGTGTATTCCCAATTTTCAATAACCAACCCGTAAACTCCCAATTCGTAGTTGAGATCCGTATGCGCAAAGAAGAAATGATATGTCCGAAAGCAAGTGTCCAACAAATGCCGTATTGACAGTAACTCGAATTGAGCTACACTCGAAATCAGACTTTCATTCAGCCCTGTGATGTTGTTATATATGACCTTACTGCTGAAATTATTGTTAGCCAAGTGATGTTGATTATGACCACTGAGTACACCACCAACAACATAAAAGAAAGGATCTAAAGTTAATCGAATTTGGTAGATGCAATTCTTATAATCGATCCTCAACTACTCCACTTTCTTGCCATTTATTGAAGGCGGAATTTTCTCCCAATGTCACCGTCAATCCGAGTTGTCAACAGGCGACTAGGACGCGTTTCAGCTCGATGGTGACCATCAGCCCCGCTTGAGAAAACACATTGATAGGTTGGTAGGTTTTGAAGCTTCAAGGAGGCTTCAGCAAGCAATCAAACGCCATTGAATTTTAATATTGCACTAGATATTAAAGAATGATGGCGCAGTACCAGTACGATACGCTGGGGGAAGAAAAGCTCCCAGCAGAAGGGCAGTTAAATCTGTGAATGACATTCATATAACTATATAACCCCATCACAAATGGTGAATAGAGCTTAAACCAAGAGAGAAGCCAAACATGGTGAGGTTAAAAATAGGTCCGAAACATGGCTAAACTTCGCAACACAAGTGTATGATGTTCTTCAACCTGTGAAAGTTGTACCACTGTTTATCATTTATTTTCCCCGCAAGTCATTGGTGGTCTCAATTCTCGATCTGGAAACACGAAGTTAAGTGAGTCATGCATGTCTTAACTCATGCTTAACCCAGAGGCACCGAGACACGGGATTAAATTTCAACAACCCGAGATGAAGGACCAGCAGAAGTCAGAGAGGTGTGATATTTCCATCCCAGTGGCATAGCCATTTCGTTTCCATATCTCGTTTTCGGAGGATGATAAGGAGGACAGCAGTATTGAGAGCAAATGCGATGTAAAGCCTTGTCCATTACAGCCATATCATCCGTAGTCAAACGGCCAGCGGACAGTTCAGGGACACTGCATTTGCATTTATGGATACACCTATATGCAACGGGCACATATAGGTGCAAATGCATACGTATTTCGGACTGATGAGGGATGTTGACTGGGTGTTCCAGCAACCGCATCTGCAGGTATTGTTTTCTGTTATTTTGGTAGCCCCTCATAAGCGGGGCCAAGAGAATGAGGTAAACTGCGAAATATTTCGTGTGACAAACACACAAAGGAAACAGATGTTTATCAGCTTGTGGGAGTTCGCCCTTGTAAATATGTATGCCGAGGCAATATCATCACCGTATGTCTATTCCCTTCTATCCCCTCTTGTCGCCACTCTGCCTTATCCCTACCACTTTCAAAAATAAATGTTTGCAACCATCAATAGATAAAAAAAAAAAAAAATAAAATAAAATAAAACAAGGGAAAAATTATCATGTTGACGGAGTTCATTTTGCTTTCAGCCCAGCCAATCTAGCCGAAAGGGTCCGATGGAGTGTGGTACATGTATGCATGTTAAATGGAGGAGGTATGGAGGTTCGATGGATATTTCTGACAAGGCATGTGGAAACCATTGTAGTTTGTATGTACTGTACACCTAGCTCGCACACCATCTTGATAGGTCCAATCATGTAGATAGGACAGGATATCGGAAAGGATGAAGAGAAGATATACAGAGGCAGAAGGATAGATGGTATATGTACGGAGATTTCTAGAGTGGAGGGTGGTCATAGAGGAAATGGAATAGAGAAAATATAACAATTGACACAAAATATATGAAAATATGGCAATAATGAAGGGGATAGATAGTTATGATAAAAGCAAATCGTTTACATAATAAAACAGGTGTCGTGGAGGGTAACGTAAAAGACAAATATAGGGAAATAACCATACAACCAGTAATAAAATTAGAAACTAGAAAATGTTCCAAACCACTGCTTAACTTTTGTCATGAACCCTCTTTCTTAGATATTAACAAGTAAGAAAATGGTAGAAAATAATACAAGGGATCCGCCCGTAGGACTCCACAACCCTACCGATACATAGCATCAAACAGTTCCCAGCCAAGTCAAGTGTTTTATCTGGCCGGGAGCGATGGCCAGTTTCGGGTTTATGCGATATTACCAGCCATGCCCATCAGAATCGCCTGAGCGGCAAGTTGCAGGGACCACAGTCCAACTTTCTTAAAACGGCGCTTCCGAGCCTGTTCATCGACGACATCTTGCTCGAAGGCTTCGTATGTCTGTGTGGGAATCAGGTTAGTTAAAGGGCCCATCACGAACAAAACAACAACAAATGAAGAGAACACCTACCTCTGCCGACAAGTCATCCATCAGTCCACTATCATAAATTGTCCAGCTGCCATTAAAATCGCTAACGCGCTTGACGAGCCTGCACTGAATGGGGATAAAGGTGCGCTTAGAATTCATATACGCAACAATAGGTCGAATGAGAGCGTTGTTGACATATGACAGCTCCCTGGTGAAGAGTGGAACGACAGCTCGCACATTATTTAGATGAATTCGAAGATCAGTCACGACAATTCGCTTGTCTTCTTCGCGTGCTGTTTTTACAGCTGAAGCAATAGCGCCATCGTCATGACTCCCAATCTCTCTATTTTGGGTGGTGCCATGAAGATACGTTTCATATCGATTAGATGTAATTGTGGCTTCCAGGCGGTCGTAAAAGTCCGACATGACTTTGGCCAGACTCTCATCGTTGTCTGCCGGGAACATGATATCAGCAACGATATCAACGGTACCCTCATGGATCCACGAGAAGGGGCCTTCAACGCCACGGTTTAAATGGTCGATATTGAGCCCGTCAACCCGAATTCGACTATGCTTTTTCCATGGGCTTGTTTCCCCATTGTCCTTTTTACCGTCGTGCAACTGTACCCCTGTATAGGAATGCGCTTGTCGGGGATGGATGGTAAATAAGGAATTGTCAAAGGATCCAGACATCGTGTTTGCTGACATGAAATCGTAAAAGAGCCATTGGCGTCTAAGCTGTGGAAGATCGCAGGAGAAAATGCTGACAGAGAACGGCCGAAAATTACCCGGTTGGAAGACCGTCACCAGTAGATCCTGCATTTTAAACGAGTCAATCTCGAAGTCCCCCGGCTTGTGCACATGTCGGAAGGATTTGGGGTCGCGGTCTTCTTCTGACCACCACACGTGGGTCCTGTCCACGATGCCCCGGACACCAATGACCTCAACATCTCGCAGAAGACCTTTGCCATTGAACCATTTGGTAAACGACAAAGTCACATTAACGGTGTTGATTGATACATCAAACTGTGTGTAGTTTGTATCTTCCTCTTCCTCTCCATCCGAGTGTTGGGCGCCTTCTTTTAATTCATCTCGTAACGCGGCTGCCGCAGCTGTTTCAGCAGCTGTCTTCGATGAACCTTTACTCACTTTCCCTGTACCTTGACCAGGACGTCTTGAAACGAATACATTCTTGAACGTGATGACGCCATCTTTCCATTTTGGCACAATAGCTGATTCGAACACAACAGTGATCCCGGAAGACTTGGTTAGATAGTTACCTACCCATCTCGCAAGGGTTTCTAATTTCAACACTTAGCTTACTTATAGACCCTGAATCAGTGGAATCAAAACATACCTTGGGCAAAAACAGTATTAATCGCCAAAATTATCAGAGAGAAAAAGGTAGTGGTCCCAAGCACCACCCAAAGAACGTGGCCAACGAGAATCCATGAAAAGAAAGCGCCTATATCGTCTACATTGAAGGGCCGGATACTTCGTATTGAGAACCATTTGAAGCGCACTTTGAGTCTTGACCAGAAACCCGTCGCAGCAGCCAGCAGTTCCTCTTTGGTTGGGCGTTGGGGTAATCGATCGGTGAAATGGCCTGCTGTTGGAGGAGTTGTCTTGCCAGAGACATGATTACCGCTAGAGTGTGACGATGATAGCTCTGACTGGGGTGATCTCGCAGATGATCGATTAAGGGTCTCAGTTTCATCAGATGGAAGGTTCGCTCTGTGGTTTTTGTGGGTGGATTGTTGCACATCGCCCTTGGAGTTCAAAGCGGTAGTAGTATGTAGACTTCTTTTCCAGGCACTGCGAGCCAGGCTCTCCAGCCTCTGTTTCTCCACAAGGGATCCCGGGCCGGCGTGACATATTATCTTTTCTGATGAGGAGATAACGCATGATGCACTGGATTCCACCGCATTAGAGGTAGGCGAGGTTCCAAGAACCAAAGCACCGCCCGATGCAAATCGTCTAGTTATCTGCCTGGCATTTTTGGGGTAGGAATACGAGAAGCTCCTTGACCAATTCTTTTGGAAAAGACTCTGGATGGTACTGGACGGGTTGGCGTCGTTGACGAAAGATGACCAGGTGGAGGCAGACGAGAAGGCGTGAGGGTCTGCGCGGATGAAGAGGGGAAGCGCTCGTTTACATAAGTTTGCGTACAATCGTCGTCCTATGGGGCTGGACATAGTTTGCGGGTCATCCTGGAACACTCTCTGGCGAAATGGAGAGTGCCAGCGTCTGCTGAGTCCTGTTGAGATTGTGGTGGACGTTGTTCGGCGGGTCAATTCCAACTCCTTAGATTTTCAAATCCTGTACGAAATCATGGTCGGGTGTTTGCTTGGTTTGCATCCGAACCTTGTTTTCCCACATTTTTTTTTACGTCAAACGAATGATCAAGGAGATATGTCTCTACAGTAATTCAGCAGCGGATGGGAGAGATTGAAATATATCAACGGCCTTTTGGATTTGATAGCTTCTGATCATATCCCGTATATATGAATTATCCACAGCACTTATATTAAGGCTAATATCGCAAAAATGCCAGCGCCCACAGCTCGTCTTAGGGACCCAGAGGAAGCCGCAGATAATCAGCAACATGGTGCATTATCGCAAAATGCCCCTCAACGTAAGTATTTGAGAAAAAAACACATTAATAAGAGATATGCCATGTTAACTAAATGATACAGATGAAGAGGATATCCTGATCGACAACAATGCTGCACCCCCCACAGAACCCTCGATATCAAAAAACCCGACCCCAGCTACCAACCAAGAAGATACAGAAATGCAAATCGACGTTGAAGGCCGTCCAGTTTTCACTCCAGCAACCCCATCTGTAGGCGCATACCGTGTAGAAACCCGCAAAGTCCCCGTCCCACCCCACCGCATGACACCCTTAAAAGCCTTCTGGCCCAAAATCTACCCCCCCCTTGTTGAACATCTAAAACTTCAAGTACGCATGAACATCAAAAACCGCACTGTTGAGCTGCGCACATCAAAACACACGACAGACACTGGTGCGTTGCAAAAGGGTGAAGACTTTGTGAAAGCGTTCACTCTGGGGTTTGATGTTGATGATGCGATTGCCCTTCTGCGTCTGGATGACTTGTACATTGAGACGTTTGAGATTAAGGATGTGAAGACGCTTGGCGGGGAACATTTGGGGCGTGCCGTGGGGCGGATTGCGGGGAAGGATGGGAAGACCAAGTTTGCAATTGAGAATGCCAGCCGGACGCGGGTGGTGTTGGCTGATCAGAAGATCCATATTCTTGGTGGGTTTAGAAATATTCATGTCGCCAGGGAAGCGATTGTTAGTTTGATTTTGGGCAGTCCACCGGTAAGTCACCCTTTTTTATTGGTGGTAAATCCTCTTTTTTCTTTTTTCTTTTTTCTTTCTTTTCTTTTGGAGTAATATGTAATACTGATGTTTAACTACAGAGCAAGGTATATGGCAATTTACGGACCGTGGCGTCACGGATGAAGGAACGTTTTTAAACACGAGAAAAAGCAACTGAAGGATTCTCGAAGCGATACCTATACTTGCATAGCAACGGCGTTTTTGGGGTTTTGGTTTTGGTCTTGATTTTTATACTTGGGGGTGCGTAATGCAACGATTGGATTTAGAAGGGAATAGGATCTCCGAAATCAGATATTAAGACATGGATCTTCATGGGTCGGTTGATTATATTTTGTGATGAAATAAACAATCACAAAGTGCATATTTGATCGAAACACAGATGAAAAGCAGACCCGAGTAAAAGAGTAAAAGAGCGCTTTATAAAAAAACAGGCCACCAATTCTAATCTAATCCTTCTTCAGAGGATGGTACATTTCCATTATCCCGTCCTTCGTAATCAACATAATCTGCAACCCATCACCCACCTCAATATGTCTCTCCACAGCACTTGTAAAAGCATCATTGACAAGCTGCAGTGCATCCTCCGCAGGCTGTGGTTGCGGCTCTCTGGGCTGCTTATCTAGCGCGTTCCCTTCTCCCGTCCCCGCAACATACTGATTCTTGAAATTAACCTGATTATCCAAAAACGGCATAATCAAGCTTGCTGCGGCACCGGCCGCCCGACAATACTCTCTCTCATAGGATCCCACGGGATCATAGCTGTACAGCGCACCCTTGCCGTCCTCGTCAATACCACCCAGGATCGCGTGAACGTAGTACGGGAAGAACCGCTTCGAGTAGAGAATGGTAGACAGACGCTGCGCACAGGCTTTCACAGACATGGGCTTGCCATGCTTGTACTTGTACATTTTCACGACGGCATCCAGGCGTTCTTTGAGGGCGCGACCGTCTGCGGCGAAACCGACGACGGAGAGGACGAGATGGGCACCCTCACCACCTTCATCGTCTTCACCAATCTTGAAAAGCTTCGGGGAGTAGCGGGTGTTTATGCTGTAGCCAGTGACGGAGCGTGTGTCGCCTGCGAGGATTGCGTAGTCTTCACCTGCGATGCCTAACGTTGAGCCGCCATTGTCGGTGTATCTGGAGAGCAGCGTGGCGGCATTAGTTGCTGTTTCTATGGTAATAAAGATCCGGCATGGGTTGTTCGAAGGGAACTTACGGGTTAAAGCCATGATGATGCTTGGGCGCAGCGTTTGACTGCTGTTCAGCGAACGAATAGCCTATGGTTTCGGCATGGGAGAAGGGATGGTTGAGAAGGGAGGTCATTTCGAGGGTGCGGGTGGAATAGATGAGGATATAACCGAAACTGGACAGAGAATGCAAAGAGAGGAATCAGGAAATTATGGCGTATAGTATGTGGTATCTGAGATGTTCGTTGAGTTGGGTTTTGAAGCTTCGGTGAGCTCATTCTTTTCGGTTACGTGAAGCTGCTGGCTGCCTCATGCTTAGTCAACCTCTAGTTAACGAACAACCAACCCAAGCTTAACCTCTATCATACATCTCATAATATTGATAAATGATAATGCCGCAAACGGGGATCTTGAACTCCCATAAAACTTTGAAAGAAGATGGATTCCTAGCTAACTACAGGAGATATTTAGTACATGGGCTTCGTCAGGATGCAGATGTTAGCCCTGCGATGCCCACTGAGGGAGTTGGTGCCCTGGCCTTATACCAAGCCCGTGATATCAATATCTGGCTTCTCGCGGCCATTCATGGCTCACGTCGTGTCATCAATAGACAAATCAGGACAATGCCCGTACTTCTTTTAGCTATTATTTTTGTGGGCAGGGTCTACTTTTACTCCTCGAGTAACTGACCGATTAGGCCTGAAAAGGCCTGAAATGAGCAGATTGAATTCATGCAGTGGAATGTTGTCAGCATATGAATTTCGAATTTTCCACTCAACTACAACTTGCACTTCCAGAGTGTAACTATTGAACAGCATCGTCGTTAACCAGCAATCAATCAATCATAGAGGACATCTGTTCAATTGATACCGCATTAACGATCAAGTCCAAAAATTAACATTCGCCTCCTTACCATGCGTCTCCTTAATACCAAGACTTATCGGTTGGAAGAATTCCCAGATGGCTGCATTCCTCCATATGCCATCCTTTCACACAGGTGCCAGGAGCAAGAGGTCGTTTTTCGTGACCTAGAAACTGTTCCGGCATTTATGGGACAGCTAGCTGTACAGTAAACTGTCCCGGAGTTGCGCCCAGACAATGAAAGATAATCTGGACTATATTTGGGTGGATACCTGCTGCATTGACAAGTCGAGCAGCGCTGAATTATCAGAATCTATTAACTGCATCTACGAATGGTACCGGCGTGCGGCGGTGTGTTATGCTTATCTGTATGATGTGACGGAATCCTCAATGACGGAGGCTTCTAGCTTCCGTTCCAGCGTGTGGTTTACAAGAGGCTGGACGCTACAGGAGCTCATCGCTTCCAGGTCTTTAACGTCGAATGGCAGGGCCTAGGCTCGAAAGTGGGTCTCAAGGATATAATATCTTCACAGAGCCTAAACCTCTTTCTCCCCCTCCCCTCCCCCTCCCCCGCCCCGGGCAATCTTTCAACCATTTGTTTATCGACAACAGAGCTATATGTTCAGACTATTGTTGGTAACTATCATCTTATATTGAATATATATTTAGAATATACACACACTTTTTGACAATTGCATACCGTACTCAATCGGAATACAGCTTCATCTAGACCAATTTCAAGCCAATAGCTTTTCACCACACTTTTTAGTAACACACTGAATTACGATTTTGGAATAGAAAGGCATGGCTGTATATCGTTGCATATGTAGCCTTCGTTATACAGTAATTATTTACACAAAATTGTGCTCATTTGACCGTTCACTGAATCGCCCTCTAGATAGATTACATCACGGCGTCTAATAGCCGAGCGCTTATTAGAGCTCTGTCAAACCATGAACATACTGCCAACGTAGGCCAATTATTTTCGCCATTCCGCGCTCGGTTTGTTAGACGGTTTGTTAAACAGAGCACAATGCTCGGTTTAGCAGCGTATTGTAGCAGCAGCGAAGATGAGGATGTGGATGCTCCTCCGACAAAAATTCAGCAAGCAAAGGTGCGCTTGCCTGAGTATATCTATCATCCAAGTTGATCATATTTCTGACAATCTTATACAGCAACCAGCGGACTCTACAAAAACTATTTCAGCTCAACCAGCAGGTATGCTTTGTGTATATATATCTTGCCTTTGCTTATGCAATACTATACTAATGATCCCCTAACAGATAAAGAAAACGCTTGCTCAGACCAGAGAGGGCGCATACCCCGGACTATCGAAGATATAAATAATAAACCTCTAGTCGGGCCTTTCCAACCAATACAATCAACATCTCCTACCGGTAACGAACCTTCATCGTCATCTCGAAAATCCTCACCCTTCTCCGCAAACCGCGCCTTACTCCGCGACATGACCCTTCCCCCCATCCCCAACTTCGACATCCCGCCCTCTCCCCCTGGTTCCCCCGATCCTGCCGCGAACCAGAAATTCGCACACTTCTTTTCTTTGAAAAGGCAAGGCGTACATTTTAACGAGAAGTTGGCTAGCTCTTCATCTCTGCGAAACCCAAGTTTGCTTGCGAAGTTGATGGAACACGCTGGTGTCGATGGACAGGCGCAATATTCCACCTCCCTCCCCAAGGAGCTGTGGGATCCCGTCTCGACACTACCACCGTGGGGCTACAAGGAGGAGTTACTTAAAAGCCAGCAGGAAGTGCGACGGAAAATTGAAGAGAAGAAAGCATCGGGGCCAAGAGAAGCTATAGATTTTGTCTCTGCGGGTGGGGGAGGACAGTCGAGAGAACCGGCGACTCCACCCGGTGGGAAGAGTAGGCCTAGTGCTGCTGAGCGTGTTATGGCGGGGCTAAATAGGGAGAGGACAAGCTCACCAATGAATCCTGAACGGGGTCGACGGACAGCGGATTTGGAGCGGAGGTCTAGACGGCAGTCCAGGTCTCCACCGGAGAAGAGGAAAAGATCGCGCTCTCCATGATCGGCGTTTTACGACTTATATTTTGATTTTTTTTTTTTTTTTTTTTTTTTTTTTTTTGGAAGGGGGGGAAGGGGGTAAGGTATTGGAATGAATTAACGGTGGTGATTGATGGATATATACTACTGTACATACATAGGTTGATTTAACGGTGTTTATACCCAAGGGCGGGCTACGGAATTGGCCATATCTTAGTGGAGAAATAACGAATTACATGCAGAGAATATAGCATCGTGGATAAATATTATCGCATTTTGAGGGTATATTTTTAAACCGTTATTTGGCGCATTAGCCGCGATCGACTCCCGTAAGCGCAGCGCTTGCTGACTGAGCTTCTTTGACGCAAGCTTAGTTGACTGATCGACGACAACAGAACAGTAGCAACGCAGGATACAAATTATCTTCTCCCATGACATATCTCTCAAGTTGATTCCAAGAACGTATAGATCGCAAGCCTTCTACTTGTTCTACTTTTACACCTCTTCAATCCAACCATATCCTTCAATTCCTGCCTCCACCACCGCCGTTAACTATTTACCCATCATGAACCACTTCCCTGGAGTTTGGGGACGAGTAAGCTGTCATACTTCTCTCTGTTCTACTATATTATATGCAAATCTAACTTTGCTGCTTTTAAATTTCCGAAGCCTAGAAATGACGTTTATGGCGAATATGACCATTCATATCTCCAAACAACCACTCTCAACACACACACGCAGTCGCCTATTGTAACAGGCACATCAGTGATTGCCGTCAAGTTCAATGGCGGTGTAGCAATCGCAGCCGATAATTTGGGTATAATGGCTTTTTTTTTTTACTATTACAATTGATAGTTGCAACCTCTAACACCGCTCCAGCATCATACGGCTCTCTAGCGCGCTTCACGGACATTAAGCGTCTACGCTCCTTCCACAACAACGCCGTCCTAGGCTTTGGTGGCGACGTGTCTGACATGCAATTCATCGACCGCCTCCTAACCTCCCTGGACATCGACGAAAACTACTCGACCTACGGCCACACCCTCAACGCGCAGAACCTGCATACCTACTTGTCCAAATTGATGTACAGGCGCCGCTCACAGTTCAATCCGCTGTGGAACAACATTCTTGTCGCAGGCTTCGACACCAACGGCCAGCCTTTCTTGAGCTCCGTCGATTTGCTGGGAAGCACATATTCGGCCCCATCGTTGGCTACGGGATTTGGAGCCCACCTTGCTATCCCAGTACTGAGGCGGTTGTTCCCGGAGGACCGACCGTTGGAGCAGATCACGGAGGAGGAAGCAGTCAAAGCCCTGAAGGAGTGTTTGAAGGTGTTGTTTTATCGTGATGCCAGAAGTACGGATCGTTATTCCATTGCTGTTGTGAAGAAGGACGGGGTGTCGTTGAAGGATGATGAGAGGTTGGAGAATCAGAGTTGGGAGTTTGCGGAAGATATTAGAGGATATGGGAGGACGACTAATTGATTGTGCAGTTGAATGATGCATCGATTGGGCTGCTTCTTTTCCCATGTTTTTTTGTTGGTAATTGATATTCCGATCCGCGTTGTTACGCTTTAAGAAGCTCTGTTTGACCATTTTCTATTTAACTACGTGGGTATATGTGTCGTCTTTTAAAATCTAGACTATGGATTATCTTCACTAGAGCCACTGTGCTCAACCACACAAATCTCACTTGTGGTTCTAATGATGACTGCAATTTCCTGTGACCACCTTTGCGGCTCCCATATGGTATATTCATCATCTTTCTTACCCTTTAGATTAAAACCCCTACAGCTTTGCTGAGTGGTCCTCGAAAATAACTCTGTTTTCACAAGTTCCCACTCCCTCAAGAGACACCTCGACTTTATCACCATTCTTGAGCCACAAGGGCGGGTTCCTGCCCATGCCCACTCCCGAAGGCCTACACAAAAGCAAAACCGAAGTTAGCAAAGACAACCAACCAGCTCTTGAAAGAACAGAGAACAATTCAAAAACAAGCTCATACTCACGTCCCCGTAAAAATCAAATCTCCCGGCCCCAACGTACATCCCCTCGACAACCACGACACCGTCCGCCTTACATCAAAAATCATATCCGCGGTCGAACTCTTCTGCACCACCTCCCCATTTAACTTAGTCTGAATCTTCAACCCTGCCGCATCCCGCAACACCGCCGTCGTCACAATGCCCGGCCCAATCGGCGCCCAGCCATCAAACCCTTTCCCAATCGCCCACTGCCCCCCACCGCGCTTCAACTGCCACTCCCTATGCGACACATCATTGCCCACCGTATATCCAAACACATAGTCCAGGGCGTCCTCCTCAGAAACATCCCGACACTGCTTCCCAATAACGATGACTAACTCGCACTCATAATCTATCCCGGGACATTCCTGTGCCATAATAGGGACTGGTATGTCATCTCCCGGCCCTGCGAGGGAGGCGGGGGGCTTGTAGAAGAGGATTGGATATCTGGGGATAGGCATGTTTGCTTCTGTGGCGTGCTTGGCATAGTTAAGGCCGAGGCAACGAATGGATTTGACATCCGTAGGGGAGAGCGGGGAGAGAAGGCGGGAGATGGGGAGGATGCGGGTTGTGAGGGTTGGGGAGGTGAAGATGTCGCCGGTGATGAGGCGGGCGGAGGTGGCGCGGGAGATGTCGGTGGTGGCAGGGGGGAGGAAGGGCTCGCCGTAGTAGGCTCGCCCGTCTTTGGAAAGAAAGCGGATAAGACGCTGGATGGCGGTTAGTATGTATTCATAAGCTATACAAATTATCCGGGGTGTCTGCAGGCTTATCACCCGGGGGATTGTAGAGGGAACGGAGGTTTAGTATACTTACTGAGAACGGAGGCATTTTGCTATCTTCCTTATTGTTTACCATTTACACCAATAGGGGTCAGCTAGAGAAGGCCAATTGAATATTGAATGAACATAATTATGTTCAATGGAACCTTTAGGCGGCGGGTTTGTGAACGATTATTCAGTTACGGAGTACTGACTCTGCAGTTAATTAGTCAAGCTCAAGTTATGGTTGTTGAAGAATGACATCACATTAACTATTTACATCTAAACACCTGGGTAAAACAGGAAGTAATTAATAGATCTTCATTTTACTGTTAATTTTCATAAACAATAAAATTTGAACATAGTTTATCATTTCTCACTATCAAGCTCTCCTCCTCCAGCTAGAAACAATTGTTGTTGATGAGTTTATCATCTTCTTCCTGGCTAGAACTATTTAATTTGGTGTCCAGCAACTTTGTCTTCTCTCTGAACTTCGTAATTTTTCTCTTACTTTCCAGCTGCTGCAATGTTGAATCATCCATTGTTGGATAACCATTATTTAACCACGCCACATAAACCAGGTTCATTATCAGGTTTCAAATCCTTAAATGCCTAGAAGGATTTCAAAGACACGGCTGATATTCAACCAAGAGCTCCCCATTGACCGGATCCACCATGAAGCTATCCGGATTACAGCGCGAGGTGCTCGCTTTGTATAGACACGCTCTCAGGGAGATCAGAAAGAAGCCCAAGGTACATAACATGACCTGTTATTCTTCAATATTCGCATTTGGGCTTAACCGATTCATTCGATTTATTTCTAGGAATCCCAGGATAACTTTAAACGGTTTGCCCGGTGCGTATCAACAACGGTGGCATGATATTCACACCCAAAACTAATTTACCCACTTCGTACGGCGTGACATAGACAAGAGTTCCGGAAGAACATGAACATCAGCAAAATGGACTTCTCGGCCATTGAATACCTCCTGCGACGAGGCCGCCGCCAGGTCGAAACGTATTCTTCCGCTGGGATCCGGAATGTCTTGCGCTGAATTTTTAACAGCGAAGTTCCATGATCACGACATCCTGCTCCATGCTAGATCCGGGTGGCAAACAGGGCAGAGAGTTGTCCAGCACCAACTTGTCAAACACAGTCAATACTTTCACCTTTCTCTGCGGGATCCACCTAAGGTGGTTGGTTTTACATATCCTCATCGTTGATCAATTGGCGCAGGAGAACGTGGCATCACGTGACATCGTGGAAGCTTCTGCTCCATTCGAGAAATCGCTCAAAGCTTCATGCGACATCTCGCTGCTGCGCGAAAGTTATTGACGTAAGGGAGGCGGTGAGGTATGGATAGGCTTTAGCTTGCTGCGGACGCAAGATGGATTGTCTCCGAGTTTCCTATATATACCGCGTGGAATCTCATGCAAACATCTTGAAGCAAATGAATAGAAATAACAAACCAAACACTCAAAATCGAGGACCCAACTTCATGTTCTCTCGTCGAGCCATCCGTTCCCCCCTGAAAGCCTCCAGACTCCCATCCCAGCCGACCTCTTCAGCTTACCGTATTTCTAAATTCTCTTCCGGGGCTATCCCACACATCTACCCGTCCGCCACCACCACCCTATCTAACATCAACCAAGCACGCAACATGTCTTTCTTCCCACGTTTACCCACCGGTGACTTCACCCCCCTTTTCCGTCTGCTAGATGACTATGAAAGCCACCGCTCCGGCGTCGAATCCAGCAGCCACTTGGGCGGCATGCGCACCTTCGCCCCCCGCTTCGATGTCCGCGAAGCTAAAGACGCCTACCACCTCGACGGCGAGCTGCCAGGTATCAACCAAAAGGACATCGAGATCGAGTTCACAGATTCTCAGACCCTAGTCATCAAAGGCCGCTCGGAGCGCGAATACACCTCCTCTTCCAACGGTGAACCTGGCGATAAAGGGCAGAAGAAGCTACACCAGCCAACTGTTGAGGATGAATCTTCCACTTCCATGACGAAGACGGGCGGCTCGTCTCAGGAGGTCGGCAGTGTTCGGGAAGGCGTTAAGTATTGGGTGTCTGAGCGCTCGGTTGGCGAGTTCAGTCGGACATTTAGCTTCCCGACTCGCGTTGACCAGAATGCTGTCAAGGCCAGTTTGAAAAATGGCATTTTGTCAGTTATCATCCCAAAGATGTCAGCCCCCACTTCGAAGAAGATTACGATTGAGTAGGGTGCACACGTGTACAATACCTACTACTCTGGCATGTCAGAAATAGGTGGTTCCCATTGTTGGTTCGTTAGCTTGGATCGAGTTTGGTATTTGGTGTTTTTTTCCTATGCTGGACCCTTCTTCAACCACTGTAATATAGTAATGATGAATTTGTGAGAATACTGTATGATTGCATATGGAATAGCATGACAAGGTGCGATATTGATATCAAGGAGGGCATAACTTTGGAATCTGTATAACAATCACAACATGATCTATTTCAAAACTTAGATTCGGATCAAGGTTTCACTTTTCACACTTCTTGGACTTCTTGGTAATGTTCGAGCTTGCGACTTAAGATTTCACCTACCAACATACTTTGAGATAATCATTTTTCACATAATCATAGAGAACATCTTAACTATTGTAATGGTAAAATTCGAGAGATTTCATCAATTTATTTGAATTCATAGGAGAGGTATAAGCTGAGGTACATGACTATACTCAGAAAAGGGAGGGGGCATCATATAAACTCCCGCGGTAGTAAAAGACAGGTGGGGGGGTGGGGCCGCCAAAAAACAAAACTGACAAATGAAACTCTGAGCATAAAAGAATGTTATATACATATATGTGGAGGGACCAAAATAAATAAATAAAATAAACATAAAGGTTTCACATCCACTTACCCGATGAGTTGTAGAAAGCAAATTGGTTATTTCCAACTCCAAATCCACTTTCTGGTAGCGCAGCATTCAACATTAGGTGGATTAAAAGTGTTGTAGTTGGCCACAGTTTGTTCCCCATCACATTATCATAATATATTCAGCTTCCCATCTTCAATGTAAATATAAATATATAAAACTGTGAAATTTTGTCATCAAAAGGGAAAATGAAAAGGAGATTGAAGAAATGTAAAGTTTCACAGAGGAGAATGTTAAGTCATTTAAGGAGTACCTTAATTCATAACATTTTATTGCATTCAAAACCCAACAACTGGCAGAAATAAAAATCGTGAGCTCAATTCATTCAAATCCTGCCAGCTTCTGGGCCTGGGACTGGGATTGGGAAAAGCCAACACAGAAAATCGAGTCCTTTCTGCCCTCCGCTCCCCGTACGAAACTTCGACTAGGCTTAACTACCTTCTTCGACTCCTGAGGTCCGGGCACAGCAGGAAAAGGTGCCGTAAATGTCGAGGAAACGCGGGGATTTGTTCTTCTACTGTTGTAATGGGCACCAGGTCTTTGGCGGGGTGAAGAAGGCTTGTCGGACACCATCAAATCTTGAGCCTCGAGGGAAAAATCGCCTTCTTCAGCTGGGCTTGGGCTTACAATAGTTATTCCTGTTACAGTTGCGGTTGTGGAGGATGTATCCTGTGCAAGTGCTGAGTTATTGGGTTTGGACATCCGCCTGTAACCGAAAATGCTCGTGCGGTCGCTAACGGCCGTGCTCTGTTTTTTGCTCATGCTGAGACTTCGGAAAAGTGAGCCACGCATGTATCGGTTGCGCTCATTCTGACGTTGTTCCTGTTCTTGTTCATGTTGTTGTTTACACATGTAGTGATCCGGGTCCGAGTTCGACGTTGGAGCACACGCCACTTTATTTAGGTTAGACATCGACTGCGGATGATGGAGATGGTGTGGGCAGGAAGCGATGTGAGCCATCTTACTTGGCATTTTGGTTTGAACCGATATAGATCGACGGATAGGGGCTGTGGATCTGTTTACATGGTTACCGAGGGGGTTGGGCTCAAAGCTTTCGAATGGATCATATTGCAAGAAACCAGGTTTGCATGGCCAAGAGGTTTGTCCTCGTTCTGCAGTGGTATCAGCTAGAAATGAGCGGAACCCTTCACCCAGAAACACTGGAGATGGAGATGAAGCGCGGGAATCTACCCTTGTCGTCTTCGGGCCATCATATGTTGTTATTATACGACTCAGGCGTTGTGAATAACTGGCGCTTGAACGGACATTCAGAGGCTGAGTTCGAGCAAATTCACCGTGTCTCTGGCAATGTTGGTCCAAGTTTGGGCTTTTCAAGTACGGTGGCGTATCTTTCCGCGGTACCGGGGGAGGTGATTTCGACAAAGATGATGAGCGGGGCGAAGTGATTGACTCATTGCATTCCTCAATAACTTTAGTAGCTCTGCTTGTCTCCGCATTTGACGTTCGGGTTATCTCCTCGCCATCGCTCCTCTTAGTCAACGACATTTTGTGGCGCCGTAGAGACCTATTCGAAGAAGCAGTACTGTATCCGCTATCTGCTTTGGTCAGAGGATATACTTTTCGGCCTCTCATAGTGACAGTACTACCTCGTGTCGAGCTCTCTATCGGCCGTCCTCGATTGCACTCTTCGTTATATTCATGCTCAATAGATTCATCTTTCCCTGTTAATAAAATCTCCACACCTTCATCTTCGAACAGATTGTCATCAAATTCATTTGCCTTGGAAGTTGTCTGGAGAACCTGGCTAAGCTCAAGTGATGGACTTGCTGCTGCGTTAGGTTGCATGGAGAGATCATGCTTGCTACTAGCAGTAGAGGAGATACCAAGAAATGCTTCCGGGTTCCCTGGCCAAGAAAGCCTGAAAACTGGGAGGCCTAAATCATTGTTGTTAGATGGCGTTGGTGCATATATCCCGTGTTCCGGTCTCAGCGGGCTTTTGCCATGGCCACTTTGAGGTGTTCTCGATCTATTTGGCGATGGCTCTAGATGTGAGCTATGAGTATAGGTTTGTTGTAGATTGCTGGTGGAATAGCCGTCTCCCCAGTCTCGGCTACGAGTTTGTAGCAAATCGGCAGAGTTACGGAGGTCCAAATGTATGCTTTTCATGTCGGAAAATGATTGGCGTCTCACGCTCATCGGAACTCTGTCACTTGGAGCCGGTGAAGCACTACCATTTACAACGCGAAGTGAGCCAAGTTTTAGCCTCCCCAAATGAGAATATTCAAGGTCGCTGGGAGTCGATGCCCGTAGTGGAGCAGAGCGAGCCATCTCATATAGAAAAACCGTATCTGCCGAGTCCCTTCGAAGCGGTAGATGGCCGTCAGGGCCCCAGTAGGGGAAGGATGGGACGCCCTGTTCTGTATTACGTGGGCAAAAGATGGTCTGAAACAAGTTTTTCGGAGATTTAGAAGATTTACCAGTATTGTATAGGGAAAGCCGTCGGATCAAAGAGAATCTATGATTTTCAGCCGGCTGGAATTCATCTTGGGCGCCTATTCCCAGACCGAATGGTGCTTTCGTCTCTTCCGACTTAACTCGATTCGCTGCTACTGGAATCTTTTGGGATAAACGTATATCGACTTGATCTAATTCTGGAGTATGAGAGAACCGGGAACCTCGTGACCGTGAGCCTGATTGTGACAGTCGTCGTTTGAGTTCACCCATTATTTCGCCAAAATTAGATCGAGTCTTGCCATCGTCACCAACACCCTGACTTCCCGAACAACGACTATGATGAGGAGAATGTGGTGATGAAGGCTCTGCACAAAGGATTCCGTCGATTGGTGCCGTAGCCCGCTGGGAATGCCTAGGATGGGAATCGGGCCATGGGCTGCCTGGGCTGTACGGACTAGACAAGCTGCATGGACTTAGAAGTGAAGAATTTATCAGGTCTTCTATATCCCTGAACGTATTAGCTGGTTGGCTTGTTCGTGGCTTTGACAGCCGATGCGAACGTCGTGCTCCTTTTGGGTAGTTAGCAGACCGGGTGGTAGACTGCGTATTTCCCATTGCCACGATTTTCAGAGTCGACAAAGCCTCTACGACGCCTGGGAGCTTACAGCCCCGGAAGAGCTCATATACCGAGCACAGGGAAGCGCGCAAGCTCACTCGGACGTCTAATGACAGCTAATAGCTAATAGCAATCAACCCGGGCTGTAGGGATATAATCTCGAATTCCAGTGAAGAGAGGGCGGCGGCTACGCTGAGGATAAATGTTGGTGGATTTATGCGACAGTATGTAGGGGTAGGGACATGCAAATCCTAGACACATACATATGCTGGGAGCTCCAGGTGACGACCAACTATAGTGGAGTGAAATAAATAATATAGACGATGGGCTCACAGTAACCCAGCATGAACGGCTCCTACAAATTTCTTCCCTCTAGACCTGTTACGGCTTCCTTGAGAGAGAAAGAAAACAAAAAAAAAAAAAAAATTCAAATTCAAATTCAAATCAAATCAAATGACAAACACCTGCAAAATGGAACCGTGTTTCAGAGCCGGCTGAGCTTGGGGAGCAACAAACTGGAAGTTGGGTGCTGTGGAGGAGCTAGAGTTAAAACACAAAGAGAGACAAAAAATAGTGACGCAGAGACAGCTTTTCACTCCAGTGAACAGTCGAAGATCAAGGGAAAGAGAAGAATATCATGCAGGGCAGGGAAACTCGAGGGTCCGGATGACCAAGAATAAATCAAGAAGTAAAATTGAATAGTTAGAAACAAGCAGCAGGTAGATTACCGAAACTTCCCGATGCGGGGTGGAATAGCTGTAGAAGAAATTTATTTTATACCAATATAAAAAATAAAAAATAAAAAAAACGAATGAATGACAGCAGCACAACACGTTCACTACGGAGTCAAAGTCAACGAGGCAAACTGCTGAAAATGGAAAGAATTTTTAAGAGAGAAGAAGAGAAGGAAAAGAGAAAGGATCCAGCGTTGGTCAGGAATGGGCAAAACTTGAATTGCGTTGAATAGTTAGGGGGGTTTGTTCATTGGGGTTAGGTCCATCGTCAATTAGAATATCCGGCTAGAGCCACAACACGGAAAAAATTGGCTATTTGAGACACGCGAGCGGATAGACCAGTCTCGGGGAATGAGAGTCGAAAAATTCCCACCATGGCGGGTTTGACATACAGAGGAGGATCAGTCAGTCAGTCATGCAGATCCAGCGCGGGTTCTGTAGCTGAAGAAGATATACTCGGTAGATAAAACGAGGTTAATGGGCAGGCTGAATTGGGGGGGGGGGGGGGGGGGAAATATTGACAGACCGGTGAAACAAGAGGACATGCAAGAGACAAGTTGGAAGATTCGCTGGTTTCAGCTGCTCGCTCCTGGCACCCCCGGGAATCCTGACACCAAGAGACTCACTCGGATTACGGGCTAGGAGGCGACATTACGATTGGGCCTTACTCCATACAGATCGAGGCCAAGCCGGGTAGATCTTGGACAACGACTGGTGATTGCTGCGATGCTAGTCAAGTGTGAGAGGGAGAGACAGGGGGGGGGTTAAGGGGGAGGAGTTAAACATGCGAGGTGGCCATTGTTTGGTTGTTGGCTGTGTCGATGTCGATATCCTATCGTCATCATGATGTTGATATTCTTGATATTTCCGATGTTGATGGTTTGCTGTCTGAGGTTGCAAGGGGAAGACCGTAGTTCCTCTGGCTGGGGTTGACTAATCGGCAAACCTTAAGTCGGTCGAAGAGCCGCCGCCCAAGTATCAGGTGCCCTTCAGCGGAATGAGTTGACCAGAGTTGACAACACGGACAAGGGACGAGGGACAGCGAATCAATCCAGTCTATCACACTCGAGCTGCGGCAGCGCCAAAAATGGAAGATTGATAGCAATGTCCAGAACAACTAGCACAAGTTCATCGACTCCGGTACAACCTCAGCGGGCAGCATTTGGGCTTGCTTGAACTACCTGGCACGGGAGTACAACAGGCAGACCGAAAGAGAATTAAACAATCGATATATTGATGGTTCCCAATCAGGCCCGATCCCGATCGGCAATCTGTCGCTTTGCCTATCCTACTTTTTCTCCGTGTCCCTCCTTAAAAACGGTTTTCCACTTGGAGCTGGAAAGGGGAGCGGCTCCGAATACCACAGACAGATACCGGAGCTGAGGCTGTAAATAACTGATAGTTATTGCTTTACAATAATCCAACAAATCCACAATTCCCTTCTCAGATGTTGGTTCAATCTGCTTTCCCAAATGACAGCGCCACCACCCCCGCTCTCCGCCTTTCCATCCCTGGCTCGCGACGAGTTCACTGCTGCCTGTCGCGCTCTGATAGCTAGAGTTGATGCTTACCAAACCCCAGAGGAAGAGGGAGGCAACCTCACTGGCCTTGGTTGGACAGGTGTGAGGCTAGAAACGAAGGTAGGTAAAAGTGCCAACTCACTTTTGTTTATAGTTTTGTTCTTTTTCAATTACTGGGGGCTTTTCATCAATTTGCCACATAAAAATTCCCCAGAGACGGACGGGTGAGTGCGTCTGTGTGATTGTCACTCTACATAAAAGCTATTTTCCTTTTCCCCCCCCCAATAACAACTGGCTTTTGCTCCTGCATGCTATCACGACTGCTCGCGTTTTGGTTTCGAGAAACGAGTAAAGAAACAAATACTGAGAAGAGGAATGGATGTTCAAGACTTGACAGTATTATTAAGAACTAATCAGATTGAACTGGTCTCGGGGCAATATTTTTTGGTACAGGATGACGAGGTAGTTTTGATTATACATAGGCTACTCGAAGAAAACTCTACCCCTCCGCAACAACTGAAACACGTTGATGTATTGGAGAGCCATGGGGCACACGAGAATGACACGACTGAGATTTTTGAACTTGATGAAAACGACCCTGTTCGTATATCGTCCCTCTAGTGTAGTTTTCATTCTTTCCCCCCCGCGAAAGGACGGAACTCCGATCCAGCTTCGCCCATCATTGTAGAGTAGAATCTGACAATAGGGTACACAGGAAGAGCTTATTCGACAACCATATTGCAACTCCACACTCCAAGTAGAATACAATATCATGCTCTCACCCACCTATCAAGTCCCTATCCTATATTTTTTCGTGCACAACTACGCCAACACTTCTGCCAAGACCTCACCAGAGGGCCTCCTTGACATCATTTACAATCGTCTCGTCCCCGCACAATACAGATCGGAGCTAAGGGGCGTTGGCATAATGGGCGGCATAAGTTTCGGGGTATGTTTGTCCATCCATGTACCACGTCTCTGCCATGTGTATTCAGCTCACCAAAGCATCAAAAAAACATTTTTTTTCTTTAAACATCGCTAACCAAGCTGCAGCATCACCCATTATCGGACCTTCCGGTATACTTTGTTCACCCATGCAACACTGCAGATGCAATGAGGGACGTGGCCCAGAAAATAGAGGTAACCGTGGAGACGTATCTGCTCTTGTGGCTCGGTTTGGTGGGGAATTGCGTTGGCCTGCATATTCCGAGCAGGCTCCTCATCGACAAACAAAATCCATAAAGCGGGGAAGCTGCTTCAAAGTCTTCCTTTGGTCTCGAGCAGTCTGAGAAAGAGAACAATCAATCGGATCCCGGAGGACCATGTGTATGTCTTCCTCCGTTGGGGCGTGAATTTCAATTTTTGAGTGCGGCTACTTTGGGAGGACTAATCTTCATCGGATGAAGCCTCCATCGACACGTCACTGTCATCTTCCTCCATTGGTGCCTCTCCCTCACTCTCGTCTTCTTCACGGGGCCGTTTGACGCCTTGTGGACCTTCGCTTGTGGGTTGGGATACAGGGACAGCGGGGGGCGATGCCGTGGTGGTCGTGGTGGTAATGGCTGTGGCCTGAGCCATTGCTGAAGGTGGAGCATTGAAGATAGATTTTTGAAGTTCGGTAGACACGCCAGGTGCTGGAGCTGTAGCCGGGGTGTTATAGGTACCCCGCAGTTTGGCTATAATGTTTGAGCTGCCTTTCCCGTAGACAATTTTCTGGAGGCCATCAAAACCAAGAATGTGAGCACAGTTCCAACTATTGTTCTGAAGAGATAAGACGTTGACGTGCACATACCATTTCCTTGCCGAAGAACTCAAAGCCCTGCAACGCTCGCATTGCCTGAGTACTAGCCTGTATGTCTCTGAATACAACATGAGCTTGACCTCGCATCTTTGCTGTTTTCATTGCGACGACGTCGAGGACTGTGCCGTAGGTTGAGAAAAGTGTGTAAAGGGCTAGTCGCAAATCCGGCTTTTTCAACTTGTCTGGGAGATTCGTGCAGTATAAACTACTTCGCAGTCAGTAAATACTTGGTAACAATCGCGGTATAAAGATTTCGACAGACGTTTGGTTTGGAGCTCCCACATTGACCACCGCGGTTGCAGGTTTTGTTGTCATATTTCTCAAAATTGTGAATATAATATCGTTGTAGTATATTTGACGGAATTGTAACCTCGATAATCAATTTCTTCAGTGATTCTGGGGACAGTATACTAGTTGCTCTGCTGCTATACCTCTTGTGTTTGTTTTGTTGTGGGCAATATATGTTCAGTTTTTAAGATGAGCTTCGAGCGCTGGCTCCAGCCCAGGTCACATGACTCATTATTATCTAATCAGTTTTTGATCAGACATGGATGGAATCGGTCAACATCCCAACCAGCAAGTCAAGAATATACCAACGTCGTCATCAACAAGTCCAAAAGGCAAACATCCCACTTGCGATAGTAGAGAGCTCCTCCTATCGCAAACTTGATACGTCCAGTATGGCTGCCCCCGAAGTTCATCATCTCTTTCACAACCCAATTGCAGACCATTCGTTCTCTTCAGACAAGCAGACTCTCGCTGTAGCCAAGGACAATATCGTAAGCCTTTACCAGAAATCGGGCTCCAAGTATGCTCTCAGTGATGAGCTCAAAGGTCATGACAAGACAGTAACGGGTGTGGATATTGCCCCAATAAGTGGCAAAATTGTGACTTGTTCCCAAGGTCAGTAAATGGCCTTCACTGGATGTGCAATATACGCTTCTCTAAACTGCCGTGTTGTATAGATCGCAATGCCTACGTCTGGGAACGCACTGCCACTGGGTGGAAGCCAACTCTCGTGCTTCTCCGTATCCATCGAGCCGCAACCTACGTTCGCTGGTCTCCCTCGGAGCAGAAATTCGCGGTTGGTTCCGGTGCACGCGTGATTGCCGTTTGCTATTTTGAAGAAGAGAACGATTGGTGGATCTCAAAGCATTTAAAGAAGCCCATCCGCAGCACCATTACAACTCTTGCCTGGCATCCGAACTCCGTGCTGCTCGCAGCCGGATCTACGGATTCGCATGCAAGGGTGTTTTCCAGCTTTATCAAAGGCATCGATGAGCGCCCGGAGCCAAGTGCCTGGGGAGAACGGCTCCCATTTAATACTGTTTGCGGTGAATTCCTGAATGACTCCGCTGGGTGGATCCATGGGTGCGCTTTTTCTCCAAGTGGGAACTCCCTGGCGTTTACTGCCCACGATTCCAGTATCACAGTGGTTTACCCCAGCGCACCCGAACAGCCTCCTAGGGCGATGTTGAATATTAGCACCAGATTGCTGCCATTTATGAGCTTGATTTGGAATGGAGACGATGAAATTATTGCTGCTGGCCATGTATGACCTCAATAATTACCACAATCTCAGTTTCACTATCGGGAATTGCTGACAAAATCCTCACAGGACTGTGAGGCATTCCGTTTCCGTGGCAGTGTAAACGGCTGGCAACTAGTAGGGTCAATAGATGCCAAAGCTCAACCAGGAGCTGGCAGTGCCCGCGAAGAAAGTGCTCTCAACAAGTTCCGCCAAATGGATATCAAAGGAAGCACCAAGAATGATACCCAACTCCAGACTGTGCATCAGAATACGATAAGCACTCTGAGGGTGTATGAAGAGGTTGGAGGCAAAGTACGGAAGTTTAGCAGTAAGGAGCCACCCATACCCTGTCTTGTTTCATTCTTAAATGCTGTTAGGATTGAAAGAGCTGACAGTTCTACTCAACAGCAAGCGGTGTTGATGGAAGAGTCGTCGTGTGGAGCACGTGATATGCCACCGATTCAGTGGTGAATCAAGGAGACTTCTGTGTTTAATATATATATGACGGGTTGCTCAAAAAGCACATTGCTGAAATGAAAATCTTCATGCGGCACTCCAAGATGCATCCATAGACATATTTTATTAAGCAACTATTTCATATACTTGTTTCCTCCTCTGGTGTTTGTGTCCATACAATAATACAAATAATGTGTTTTCTCGAACGCTTTGGTCTTCACGGTTGGTCTCACAACGTCTCAACTCCCTTGTTTTATTAGTCCCAAGCATCAAGCAGAGTCTCAGCGAAGCTAGAGTTTTAATTCCCGAAGCAGCTTGAATTGCTATGTTAGCCCTCCAGCACTAATGGGCGCCTTATTGCTACATTGTGGATTGATTTACAAGGGTACATATTCCCCTCTTTCTCCGTCTACGTACGTGAGATATGTACTCCGATACCACTTACATTTTCTGGACACACAGACGCTCAGTGCGGCATTCGTTGCTTCCACCTAGAATACCAATGAATTTCTAGCTTCAGAAAGCTTTCTGTATCAAAGTCCGTTCACTATTCGAATCCGACAACCGATAATGCCTCTAGGTAAAGGGGCTGATTCTCAGTAAAACGAGGATTCTCGAACATTGCCATCAATTTGTGCCGCTGCTCCCACCCTTTGGGTACACCAAGGTTAAATCCCATCAATGGCCCCAGACACTTACACCACGACGGTTGAAGCCGGCGAGCAGCATCCACAACCCGCACCACTTCAACCCCCCCAAATGGGTCTGAGTGGCGCTCAATATCCAGGCTGTCCATTGCCATATCCATACACCGATCCTAGATCAGTAAATCAGGAACAAAATCCTATCTTGAATCCCTCAAACAACAATAACGATAACGATACCCGTGAAATGATGCGGAACGTTCCGCAACCGCCATGGGGTCAGGATCACACTCTACTACAATCAACCTCCATCGGACAAATAGAATTCCAATCTATTAGCGCCGCGCAACACTTCTGGGAAACGCACCGCCCACAGCCGGTGTTAGCCCTATACGTACCAAATCCACAACGCCCATCGCGTCCTTTCGGATCAACACGCTATGGCGAAGTATTAACGTGCTCACTGATCCAACATTTCGTGATCTGCAGCAACCGATGGCGAGCATTTTCCCATTTGTCAACCAGGTGATTGGAACTGAGGTAGAATGGGGCTCCAGGAATATTGAGCTAGATTGCAGATTTGAATATGGAGCGACTTCGCCCATGGCAGCAACAGCAGGGTGTCCAGCAGCAGCATCCAGCCGCTTGTCAGCCACCACCACGAGCTCGAGCAGTTGTGATGAGAAACCCCAACCTCCATAATATAGCGCCTACCAATAATATCGTCGATATTGCCAGACGGGCATATTCACCCCAATTCAGCTGCATAACACGGTTCAACCTCTCTTGCATTAGTGCAGTGAGGTCGTTACGGATGCCTTGCATAGAGTCACTATAGGGAATTCCGGCACCAGACCGGTGTTGTTGACTTGGGAGAAGTGGGAGGATGTTGTTACTGCGGCTAGGGGTTTGGTCGCTTCTCTGGATGGAAACATAGAGGATTGTGCGATTCGGGAGATTTGGGCAGGAGTTTGCAGGCTAGATTCCTTTGCGGTTGATGTTTTGGCTTGGTTTGTGGTTAGTAGGGGAACAGATGATTGTAACAGTGTCGATGGATTGGTTTTTTTTCCTTTCCTTTGTCATTTATTTGTTTATTTATTTATTTATTTCTTCTTTCCCCCCACCGCTTGGCTCTTCTCTTGTCCTTCAGCTATCTGTGGTTTGATTAATTAGAAATTTTGCATTACTGCTATTTTCATATATCTATCAGCTTTATAGGGCTTTCCCGCCCATTGCAAGATGATAGAGGTGATAGATATCAAAATTTATCGTTGGGAATTTCTTCCCTATCCCTCAGCCGCTGGGTTACTAGCTGATTCCGCTACTCATATGACAAAAATTGACAAAAGGAAAAGCCCAGAAATTCCAAATCAGAGGATACGACCGTAGATAAAAGCATGGAAACAACGAGCATCCTCGCTTGTAAGTTATTGGAAAGACTGAGGATATCGGCACAATTCATCTTTGGCGACGCTATTATTTGGATTTGACTACGGCGCTATATATATATGATTGCAAAGACATGGCGTGCGATATCTGAACTCTCAAATAATTAACATGGACTGGAAGATGTTTACTATAACTAACTAGTTAGGGATGATATCAAGTTGTAGTAACTGGCTTTCTATTGCTGCATGTCCTCCATTCCAGTCCAACAAGCATGTCCCATATGGTGTAGTGGCTAACATCAGCGTCTCTCACACGCTAGCCGGGGGTTCGATTCCCCCTATGGGAGAAACCAACTATTCACTCTACAGTTTTCTTTTTTCTGTTTTTAATTCTTTCTCTTTACGAATCGGGGCTTGTTGAATTTTTGGTGACTTTCATGACTTTTCTAGGGTCATGGCAGATAATAAGTTGCTCAAGATTTGGGCCCAAACCCCCCTCTCGTCGGCTAAAATACTAAATTCAAGATGTCGCGCTTATAAGACCCTTCTTGAACCTGAATGACCTCACAGTGGTAACTCGACACATCGCTAAATTATACTATGAGCTTTAAATAAACTTCCCCTCCCAAACCCGACGGCTCCAGCTGAAGAAGAATCTCACGTCGCAGTCACACTGTATGATTTGCGATGCCTTCTGCGGTCACACAGATCCACGGTTTCCACGCCGGGGCGCAGGATATGAGGTAGAATAGGCTCCAACGCATACGAGAGGATCCCCACGTTGGGAAAAACTAGGTTCCTTCTTTGGAGGTTGTAGGATGTAAATGCACTCGACGGTGTAGATCTGAAGAACAAAGGGCGGGGCTTTGGATTTGGTTTCCAGCAATTGCGCTTCATCGTCCAATAACTATGCGGGAGAGTTAGTTAGCATCCAAATGCACAATGTAATCGAATAAAGCTAGACCTTTGGCAGATTTTAAAAACGGGACTTACCACTATGTATATCATCCACGGCATATTCTATTTTATTTTGTTCGGATGTAAAGGGAATATACGACGAACCTAACACACATACATGGCTGATACTCGGCGTAGAAACCTGACAGCATTCAAGGAGTTTCCTATTGCCATTTTGTCCTTAAAGTGGCTGAGTTTAAAACATTATCAAACAGATCGTGACATGGTTGGTAACAAGAAAAACAAAATAAAATATGCTGATTTCTGTCGTCTCTCCGGAGCCTAAAAGAATGCAATGGAGGCTGGTGGAGGTGCTTATTTAACCGGAGGAGAAATCTAAACCGATTCCATCCAATTAGTTGCTCATCGTTCGACCGTCCGATTGAGGTATTGTATAATGATAGTAAAGGGCCGTATTCTGGGTCCCTGATGACTCCTCTGTATATATTTCGAATTCAAGTTTCCTTTGATCTAGACGAGGTAGCTTCTACGCTGATTCCCCGCCATAAACGTAGGGCTGCAGAAAACAAGTGATTCAGCTTACTGTCCATCTGGGCCGAAGATCTCTCCATGGCTTGGCAGGGACTTGTCGAACCGCCTCCATTGGTGCATGCACAACCTTAAGCATGGTTTAATTAGTGTTGTTCTCAGAGGGAAAAAGGAGGGAAGAAAGAACCCACAAAAGGACCCGACGATTTTGAAGACGGCACACCCTTAATCCGATACTCTTTCCCTTAGGAGCAAAGAGAGGGAGAAAAGCATGCCGGGCGGATTCGCAATATAGACTATTGCTATTGAATATTGAACTGATAGCTTACCCTTTAACCAAAACGAGAGGGGAACTGGTATTTAAGGAAAAGGGGTGGTGAAATATGTAGTTAACATATTGCCTTCAGTTTCGAGAGACAGTGTTCATCAGGTAGCTCTTATTTTGTGGGGAAGCTGAATTGCTGAACTACGGCCTGTTGGGACTCAAATAATTTCGCCAACAGGACAGGTGAACCGAGAATATTAGCTGCCATAAATCTATATCAAAGGGGTTGCGCGGATTTCTCTGCAAGTCACGTAAACGCTTCACCCAGAAGCACAGCGCCCAAACAGACATCCAAACGTCATATCCTAGACAGCTACTATTGCTGGTAAATAAAGCGGAGCCATGAGCATATCCATTGTCATGTAGAAACAAAAATAGACTATCATACTAACATTGTGTAGCATTCAAGTTATTGATGTCAAGTCGAACCCTAACCAATAACTTGGGGACCTGGGATTTATTCCGTAATGGTGATCTCCGAATGAAGAATGAATAACTAAATAGGGACGAGGTGGAGTTGCCTGGACGCTAGCCTCAGCCACCGGCTCAACCGAATACCGACTGATCGGCGGGCCGAGAAATATTAGACGGATTCTTGCCTGCTTTCGCTCCCCAAAATGATGGGTTTTGCCGTCATAACCTGAACAGGTGGAGCTTCTACAGTCTAAGTTCCCACCCTAAGGCTACTTAGTGCACTAAGTATATATTCTGCTGCTCGAAGGATTAATGTTGTACCCACCCCCCCTAGATTGTGGATTCCTCTTCGGTGCCACTACACCAGACGTCATGGCAATACCTTGCATTGTTCCGCGGATTCATCCCTGAGCGAGCACGTCCAAACTGGCCAGGGCATTTGTGTCCTGGTTTAAAACACTAAGGAAGTGCGGTGTTCACTGGCAAATCCTTGTCGATTCTTTTCCAGCCTTATTGAACAAAGCTTAGAGGCATTGGATTCATATGATGACAAGGATGATAGTGAACAGAGAGATCAACTTTTCCGTGACAGAAAAAGAGTTGGTCGAATGCACACGCCAGCATCTTGCGGCGGACGCTTCCCGCGGGATCGGCTCGGAAAGAAGAGACCATGAATCTGCCGTTTAGTATCCGGATAGCAGAATCGAGTGAAGGATACCGATGGGCCATATATATGCACAGGGGCAGCTGTAGGTATTATTATTGCCTGTGATGTTGAATATATGACAGTAAACTTCCGCAAAACCCCCGAAATGTCCCTGCTAGATGCATAACTATATCAAAAAAGAAAGCAACGAATACTTCATATAAAAAGCCGAAAATCAGGAGAAAACCATTCCAATGCATAAGGGTATATCCGAAATAAATTCTCAAAAGGCACGACATTGGCTCCCTCCCCCCTCTAAAAAAGAAAAAAAAGAAAAAAAAAGAAAGAAAGAAGGAAGGAAGGAAGGAAGAAGCATTATCCATTCAAGAATCTAACAGCTGATGACGGATCAGCTAAGTTAACCCATCTCACCACCACCTCCACAACTTCCAACCCGCCGACTTTTCCAAGGCAACTTCCACTTCCACGGCCGTTTCCAATGTAGACGCCGACCAGGAACCTTCTTCTCCCAGTTTGGCGACGGCAAACACACGCCCAATCGCCAAAAATAATCCCGATGAGAGAACAGCAGTTCCCATAATCTATAGCGGGCCGGGATTAGGTTCACATCTGCCGATAATTTCCCGTCGTCCTGAACTTGGACTACCATCGATGGCAACAAGGGGCGTTGCTGAGCAGCTAAAAGGGAATCGCCTTCATCACGTTCTTTTCCTTTCGCGGGAGCATCATTCGAGCCGGTAAGTTTTGATAAGCCTGATGATAAGATTCGTAAGTATTCCTCATCCGCTACCTCAGAACCAGCGATGCACTCTGGATCCGCATCACCGATGCAGTGGCACAGATCAGAGATGTTTGGCGGGAGATCGGATTTTGAGATATAGATTTCGCCTGCATGAGGCCTGTAGCCCCATTCTGTCAGGGGTAAAAGGGGGACTGGGTCATTAATGTGTGTGACGCGGTGGTAGGATGAGGTCTTGTTCTGGTTGTTTCTATTGCCGGTGTAATCGTGACCTCCGGATGAATAAGAAGTCGACAACGAGGAGGACGATGCATTGCTCAGCTGGAATGCCTCATTAAGATACTCTACAAGTCCTCGATTTCCAACCTTCGGTTCCCCAAACGTCGTTACCTGCGGTTGCCAACCTCGAATCTGAAACTCAAGACCGGCAACGGCCGCAACGGCGCCGCCCAACGAGTGTCCCACCACCACCAGTTGGTAGTCTGGATACTGGGCTATAGTATGTTCCAGCGGATGGAGCAATATGTTTCTAGCGTTAAGCCAAGAATGCATGAAACCCGCGTGGACGGTGCAGTTCGTGCAGGGCCGCTGGTGTGGATCTGAGTGTTTATTGGCTGGGTATGGAATATATACTTGCGGGATGGCAGACAGATCAACGATGGTGTTTGAGATCGAATAGGTGCCACGGAATCCTATGATGATACGTTTGGGCCATGGTGGGTGGGAGAGGACGAGGAAGCCGCACGAGTCGGAGAGCAGGGGGCCTGTGTTCCAGGTCTGGCGATGGTGTTGGGTGTTAGATAAAAGGCATTTATGATATAAAATAGCAGCACGATGCATAAATATAACCACATAATCTAATAAGGAAGGTATCGACGTACTGTAACGAGTTCAAAGCCTTCAAATTCATGACAGCGTCCGAGACACTGGAAGGGCTTGTACACGCCCGTTGTGCCGACGCAATATGTTATATCGACGATGCGGGACAGCTCTTCGAGAGATAAGAATAACTCCTTTGATACCGTGCGATCATCCCTAGAGTTCTGCACTATGCTACCATGGTTATCTGGCCGTTGTTGAGGTAAAGCTGTCGCGGCGATGAAGTGGAGAAATACGGAGAAGAGAAACAATAATTTCATCGCGACATAAAGGGAGCAGGGAGCAGCTAGTTCATTGCATCATCTTTCAGGAGAGTACCAAGGCCAATAGCCTAGAAAAATAAACCGAGAATTCGAAGATGAGGTTGAGGTTATTGAGGAAGACAATTTGTGTTCTCGTGTGACATTTAAATTGTCCCGCGACCTTAGGAGGTGATGTTCGTCTGTGAGAATCATGTGACAAGTTTAAGGTTATTTCAATCTTTGGAAGCTCCCGTAGTTAAATAAGAGCATATCTTGAGAAACAGATCGGTTGAACCCATGGATGATATTTGAGATGTATGAAAAAATAAAAATAAAAATGGAAATGGAAATCTTAAATTATAAACAAGATCAAAATAATATCTGTATATATATATATATATATATATATGGGTGCATCTTGAAATCCAACTAGAAATCTTTCTTACCAAAACCGAGAAAGGTAAATGAGAAGAGAAAGATGAATTCAGAAGCTTTAAATGCAAGTATACCCTGCCCTTTTCTAAGAGAGTCTCTCATATCTGTCCAAAACTAAATCAAAGTATATATCAAAAATATATCCCTAAATATCATATGGTGATCCGGCACATGTGACATTTTTCATTGGCGTTCTCGCCATATCTCCCGAAAGCGACTCACCCACCAACTTTCAGTCGATCTATCTCCCCAATTCCAAACTCGGCACAATAACTGGCCCATACTTAACCACATTCCCATACGCGCCATCGCCCTGCACTAAGAAATCCACCGCAAGACTCAATTTCGGAAAGGTGGCCGATCGCGTTGTAGTTGTAGGACTCATTAGGCCATAATTGGTCTGGACATTTTCCGGGTCGTACCCGACGAAGGCAACATAGTTGCGCCGACCCATGAGTTTCTTGTGCTCGCGGGGTTGTCCCATTACGTCAGTGGGGAAGATTTCCATCATGTCTTCCTTTGTGTCTGTGGTGACACCGGCGACGGCTCGTTGGCCGTTGGCAGGTAAGTAGAGGGGTTTGTTGTTGCTGTGAAGTAGTTTCATGACGTAGGAGGCCGGGGGTGTGTTAACAACAGAGGACGAGATGAATTGATACATTGTCTTGTGGTCGGTTGGGTGGGAAGGGTCGTGGACGAGGCCGGCACCGCAGCAATTGACGGCTCCGGAGAGGAAGGTCATTCGGATGCTCTTTTGATGGGCGATTCCTTGTAGGGTGCGGATGAGGTATGTTCGCTCAAGGTCCTGGGGGTTGGCGGGTAGTAAGAAAAGAGTTCACACAGGTTCGCAACGATTATTAGCGTTCGCTGTGAAAAAATCACTTACTTTTGATTCATGCGTCCACTGATCCCTAAGCTCATCGAGGATTTCAATTTCACCAAACGGGCTTAGGACACTACCCATCAACCCAGACTTCCCTACAGCCCTCTTCACGGACACAAATCCCGATCCTACGGCACCTTTAGCTCCCACAACACCAGCAACAGAACTGGTCACTTTTCCAAGAACGTTGTACGCTCCAGTGACAGCCTTCTTGCCAGTCGCTATGGTCTGCGCGAAATGCTCCGTGGATTCTAACCGTGGGTAAATGAGAGGGACGGAAATCATCCAGATGCAATGTTGGACGCTTGGTGGGAGCATTGCAACTTTTGGGAAAAGACCTTGGTAAGTCGGACCAGCCATGACCTGGTGAGGATTTCTTTCAGAACGGCAATCGGCGCCTACCACGGCTATGGCAGGGCCAAGGTATTTGACAAAATGCCAGCCGGTTCCGGTTATACTGAAAAGATCTATATCGTTGTTTACGTGTCGCAAGATCTCTAGGGTGGCATGATGTTGGAACAGGAGGTACATTTCGATGCCTACTCTACCGATGTTTTTAAACATATTTGAGAATTGCATATAGTCCGGATAAGAACCGAATCCGTCAAAGCTGAAAGGAGCCATATCAGCAAACCTCAGAATGAAAAATGCCGACATTCCCAATTTATTAAATTCGGCTAGGAATGAAAAACTTACATATCATGATCATCAACCTGCAATATATGAGGAATTTGAGCAAACGCTTCTCGAATATGTGGCTGATCAAAGTGACTTGTATAATAGTGGAAGTACGCGTGAGTGACATCCTCCTCATGTGCAGCGGTCCACGCTGCATTTTTCCTCTGTTCTTTGCCGCTGATAATAAGCCACTGCTTGAGAGAAGGAATCTCCTTCCAGATCCGGTCTGCATTGATCTGGCTTCCAAGTCCGAGGTGTACATGAAACCCGCCGCAATCCGTATGTTTCTGCATGATATCTTTCCACAGGTACCCGGCGCCACCCAGACGAGCCCTCTCATTTGCGCTCACGTTAAGAGAGAAGTCATTGCCGGAGGTTGCAATGAAGCGCCAGTTCGTTTCATTCCGACCAGCGACCAGGAACTCGTATCTTGTGCATCCGAGGTGTGATGTGATCGCGTATGTCCATTTGGAAGGGTATTCTTCCATAGTGAGATCAACACTGTATTTGTAAAACGTCCAACGCTGGTGAGTTGAAATAGGGGCTGCTTTGAGCTGTCGCGGATTTGGAGATAGGTCGACGCTCTGATGTATATGGATGGTTGGCGGCTGGGGTGCATCCGTTACCAATAGGATTGAACCTAGCCAGAGTCCACGTTCCATGTCCATGTTTGTATAGCGTAGATAGGGGCCAAAATAGACACCATTAGTTGGTGTGACCTTATACAGCTCAACCCCACTCGCGGGTGGGGGACCAGTAAAACCAGCATTCATACTCATCACACTGCCCTCATATCCAGGTGTCATTGGGAGACCCGGTGATCCGAGTGGATTGCCGAAGGTGGAAAGCGACGGTGAAGCCATTGGATTAGGCCCAAAGACTGAAAGGCCTGGAGATGCGATCGGGTGTCCGCCGAACGTGCCAACTCCAGGTGACATTGGCTCATTTAAGTTGAGAGGAGTAGGTCCTTTTGGGAATTCCCACTGAGTTGACTGAGTGGGAAGATGAATGTAGTAGTATTGCCCTGAGTTGGGATCTAGGTGCGCGATCCAGCCTTCGGGAAGAGGAGGTGGGGAAGCGGGTGGGGGTCCAGTAGGTGCAGGAGATGCGTTACTAGGAGTGGGATGAAGACCAGGGTGCCCATTTTGGATACTTGGTTGTGATGCGCGAGGATCTACCGGTCTAGGATCCTTTGCAAATGCGGGGTGAACCTGGGCATTAGGAACAGGAGGAGTATTGGAAGGCGGCGGCACGGTGGAAGGTGTCATAAAACCAATGGTGATCGCGTTCAGTGAAGCGGGATGAGTAGGAGCGGTAACGCCCTGCTTTTCGTTGGGATAGCTGCCATGCGCGGGGCCACAACCGGGCCCACCTAGGCTCGAATATGCTGGAGGAGGAGAAGAAGTCATGTTCATTCTCTGAAAATCTTCTTCAAGTGGATTATGAGGGTAAGCAGCAGTGTTCGCCTGTGGCGGGTAGTTCACCGCACCTGAAACTTGTGAAGGAGGTGAGGATGTGGGAACAGGACCTTGATATACGGTTGGTGGGCCATGTGGCTGACTTCCTGGAAGTTCAGTTGGAGTCCAGGGCCTTGGAACTGGGTTCTGGGGTTGTGCCAGATGGTGATTCGACTGATGAGTGGCATACTGTTGGATACGCTGCTGCGCAGCAGCACTTTGAGCTTGTATATTACTCAAAGTGGAAGTGCCCGCAATTCCTGCTGCAGCGTATCGAGACTCAATATCCGAGAGACCTGGAGGGACAATTGGTGTTTCTGGTGGAGGGGGAGAACCGCGCTGCGCCTTTGTAGTTGAGGTTGAAGCAGTAGAACTCAGACGATTTACCGAGTGAGTTGTCTGGGGGGCTGCTAAATTCGAAGATGAAGAAGTCGCAGGATTATTTGGAGAAGACCAGTGTTGTTGGTGATAGTCGGGGAATGGGTTTACTTCCGCAGAAGGCCTTCTCCTCTGTTCCGGCATGCCTGCAGTAGTGCCGTCTCCTGCAGAAGTGCGCTGAGGAGGTTTTTGAAACAGGCCTTCTTTATCTGATGTCTGCGGCACCGGCGATTCTGGGACCGATTTTCCTCTCCGCTCCGCAAGGCTTGACGTAGCTGCTTTAGAATCTCGTCTTTCCCGAGATCGCAACGACGCAGGTATTTCAGCGGGACTTGACCACCCTGAGCCAGAATGGAGAGGAGAAGAAGGTTTTGGCGATTGTTTTATATTGGATGACGGGCCGTCGTCAGGATACGGGGGTCTAGGATTCGGAGAGTTAAAAGAATGCACCTGATGTGGCCGGGGCCTGTTGTCGGGATATGGAAGGGGTTTCTGCGGAGGTAGACTGAAAGTTGAGGGTTGAGTGGTTTTATCGGCAGCTTGGCCAGCAGCTGGGCCGGGGGAAGGGGTATCTCGTTTAACAATTCTTAAAGGAGAGACAGTTGGGGGATCACGGGCAGCTGGAGAAGTGAGAAACATTTCGTCGTTTTTGTCCTTGCCATAGCGATTCATGGCTGTCCACTGTGCTATCCGCCAAGCAATTTAAAGTATGGATGTTTCAAGCTCTGGATAGCTGAGAGTTTGGTTCGGGAAGCAGCGTAAGGTGGTTATTTTTAGCAGTGCGCACAGCGAGGATTGCTGCAGTATGGTAGCTGTGTTGGTTGTACTGGTAGCCCTGACGCTTAATGGTGGTGAAGGAAGTTTGCGCAAGGGGGGGGGTCGAGGGAAGTGGGGAACGAAGCATGCGATCTCCAGGGCAAGTGGTTGGTTGCGGATCGTGAATAGAATGGGGGAAGAGATTAGACTCCGAGATATCAAAACACAGAATGAAAAGTTGTGAACCCAGTTGATAGAGAAGACACTCTCTTTCGCATGAAGAAGGGGATATCTTATCTGAAATAGATGAGATGGGAGGGAGAAGAAGAAAAGGAGGAGGAGGAGGAAACGATGGAAGCCGGCGAGGTTGAAGGTGAATTAAGTGTGGAGGGTGTATGGCTGTATGGATGGTATGGCTAATACGCCTGGCCGCAATGACAAGACCCACAGAAATGGGTAGTCCGCAGCCCGTTGGCGTCTCCATACACTCTCGTACCGTCTCGGAGCCCTGTTAGGCCGCTGGGGCGACGAGGACAATGTTGTGTTGGACATTGTTAAAAGGGTTTTTGGGCATCAAGATCCAGCTGTGTCCAGAACTGATATAAATAGCTCTGGCAATTAAAAAAGTAAAAAAATTATCAACGAATATAAAATCATGCACATATACGTATGTGCAGCGCAAACATACGTAGTCCGTAGTCACCCATCCCCCTTAAATGTGCCCCGGCTTTAACATGTTTATTATGCCATCCCCACAGCCACGATTCTATGGGCCCTCCCGCTCAGTCCCATGGTTGGGCTGCGCCGTACCTGGAGTGTATGTTCTGTATTGACCGTACCTGACCGTACCTGACCATACGACACAGTTTTAACAGATCCAAACCGCAGCCAATCACGTATCCCCAATCCCCCAAGGCACTTTGTTAAGCGCCGAAGGATATTGTGATGTGATATCCTATTGCCAGCGCTTGAGCCGTTAAGACTTATTTGTTGCTTGCCATTGGCCGGTGATGAGCTTGGGAGGCGCTGCAGCGATGCTATGGAGAGGGTTCACACGTCCGCATGAGTTCTTCAGGGCAACTAACTAATACAGTATCCCAAATCCCGCACCATTCGGAGCAGTATATGTGGCTATTAAAGAACTGGGATATGAAAATCACTTTCGACGCGGAACTTGGAAAGAGCTGTACTTGTCCCATTTCAATGAAAAATTTTCCGAGGCTTGGGTGGGCGGCTAGTTACCTGTTACTGTTGCAGAAGCATGTCCGGTAATCTGGTGACGAGAGCAGCCTTCAATTCAGGGATAACAGAGCTATGTTTGCTATTTCTCTCTGCATGAATGGGGTACCTTTGACGTACATAGCCATTGGACACATTCAGCAGTTGAAGTAACTAAGACATTGATCCTAGAAAGCGTAGGGCTGCTTCCACCCTGCCTTGCCGCCAGCAACAGGGAGAGCCACGCAACTGCCGCCAAGAACTGAAGGGGACAAATTTCCAATGGGGGGAATGCAGCAGCAACTCGAACGTTGCATGATGGGGTAATATGGGTTGCTTCCATTCTCAAACGAGATCAATTTATATATCTCGTGATGATGGCTAGGAAGCAATTTAAACGATGCAAATTATTTCTCTGACAGGATGAAATATTATTTCCAATATTGCGGGTTCTACCCAGACTGTCAGGGAACTAAATTACAGCCCCAACAGCTGTCGACGGCTCAGGTCCGCATGAGAACATTAATCCATGAGCGAGAAGGGTATTGAATTGCCATGGGACGAATAATTCCAAAAACTCCAACGTTGCAGTTGATTAAGAAGTCTGAATGAGAACAAAAGGGTATGAAGCTGAACGAAGAGGAACGGGAGCTAAGCAGAGGCCCAGTTGACACTGACAGAAGACAACGGGAAGGTTGAAAGGGATAATTTCGATGCTGCGAGGGTAACAAAATAAGGGTAGGGAAGGCAGATATAAGAAAGCAGAGAGAAGTCAAAAATTGTCAAAGATATCACCCAATAAACAAAGGCATATAGACACGGAAAATAAAGGCAAAATTGGATTAAGAATTAAGCAAGTAGAGGAATTTATCATTATCATGCTTCCTTCTATAATTTATAGCCCAAAATTTACCATCTGCAATCCCTGCTCAACCATAATCTGGACCCAATCCACATCCAGCGCATGTCCCTTCTGCATATACCCATCGTTCTGTCGCTGATGCACGATCTGCAGCACATGTCTCGTGGTCGTCACGTTGCGGCCGACGGACTCGTTTCCCTCGATGCTAGAAAGCAGATCCAGCACCAACATCTTCTGCGAGGGAGAAGAAGAGGCCACTCCCACCATAAACAATGGGAAAACAATGAAACGCAGATCGAAACGGCCGGCCTGCACGATGCGGGTGGCGACATGGAGGATGGCGGCGGTTCGTTGGGAGATTTCGAGAGACGGTTCACCTCCGTTTTCAATACATTGGTTTGGCCACATGCTTGTGTATGAATAGATGAAGGTGGCATGGAACAGGGTTGTGGACTAGTGGAGCGGGTGTTAAATGTATCCACATATTTTTGGCATGGGTGGAAATGAATTTAGGGATGAACATACATGTTGAAGTAATTCCTTTGATCGACTGGGTAACAAATCCATCTGCTGCTCCAGGATAGTTGCATTGGAAGTATGCCATAGGTGCTGCAGGGCTTGTTGGATTTGAAAAAGGCGTTTTTCTCTATTTCCAGTCATGTGCGGCCGGAAGCAATGAGAACTACTTGGGTTAGAATTGTCGATAGCTGCTACATTTGCGTAGGAACTTGATGGCCGGCACTCCGATGCTAGAAGTCCCAACCTCGCTGTCAGGACGAAGATATCATGGTTAAGCTGTAAAATTGCTGGGAGACTATTTTCTTCCCCTGAATATATGATACTCACCCCATCCCGGCCAAGGGGGTAGAGATGGAATTTGGGAGAAGGAATCATGTCGTTTTTCAAAGCGGCCCTGAGAAATTCTCCAGTTCCCGTGCCGCTGAATAGAGCATATAAATCAATATAACATACCCACCAAATAACGAAGGGGAATTTTTCTGTCTTGAAAACCTCGTGCCGCATAAGGAAGATTCGTAACAACCGTTCAAGATGGTGGGACCAGAGATTGGACCCTCCCGGTTCTGCTGCAGCAATCTGATATTTATCTTTAGCAATAGTTTCAGACATGAATGAGTACGCATTTACCTCGTAAATCAGTAGCAAGAAATGGGTTAGAAATACTCCATCAGACGAAAGATCCTCATGACATCGCATGCTGCTTTGTAAGAAGGGAAGAGTTTCCTGATAATGTTGAAGTGCGGCAATGCTCTGGCCTTGCTCTTGGTGGGAAAGGCTCAGAGCAGAAACGGCCATCATGGCGTGGAATAACTATAAAGAAAAGTTAGGATTTTGGCTGGAGACCGTCAAAAAAGCAAAATCGTTTGGGGCACAACTATCTTACTGGACGGAATGTGACCGCTTCCCGCTCAAAGATGTCGGATCCAGGAACATTGTGAACTTCTCCAGGAGGAGGATCACAACGAGAAGCAGTTTGCACAAGATGGCTCCAGACAACCTTGCGAAAATGCAGAAGCAGCCTCGTGTCTTCCCCGTACTGTTCCGTGGTGTCTATGTATGTGTGGTTAAATGATTCCACGAGGTCATGAACAGGGATCTCATAAGCAAATTTGGTTAGGAATTTGGAATAACATATGCTGGAAGTTGAGGGAGATGGCCTTGTGTTGGTCCTCCAATGGCTGGGGGATGAAATTGGAATAGAGTCTTCGAATTTTGAGAGAATGACCACATTTGGATCTCCTCTTTCTGTTAGAGTAGAACTACCCCTATTGTGTCTTATGGTTCTCTTCCCCTTTCTGTCCATGACAATATTATCACCCCCGGATCTGGGATAACCAGACACAGATATAATATCTGTAGTGTCGGAATATTCAGGCAAAGAAGAAAAACTCTCGGGGTTCACAACAACATGATAGGTTCCGGGAGAATATGCTTCTGCTTTCATTTCTCGCTCTAAATCCGAAGTCAGAGAGGCAAATGGAGGTAAATTATCTCCTCCGGCTGATGAATTGGGGCTGCTTGCGGTCAAGGTCGGTGATGTTACTACCAGTAGTTAGCACTTAGCCCTGTGGTTTAGCTCAAAAGTAAACCATGCGGGCTAGAAGATGTCTTAAAACATACAATCCCAAACTGCATTTCCAGTAGTGGAGACACCTGGCATGCGCTGTTTGATTCTAAACGTATCATCCCGAAAGCATAGCCTAGGGCTGTAATCGCATTCATGTCCGAGCCTCGAGCATTGCTAGGATGTAGTTTCAATATGAGGATGATGCTTTATACACCGTCAGTTCTTCATGCTGAGGCCACTTACACCACAAGTAGGATGTCCCTCGTCGCATTTTACTAGAAGATGCAAATCAGTAACCTGCTTCTATTGGAATTATAATGAGATTGAGAAACACTTACCTTTGCGACTCTTTGTGATGCAAGGGCGTAGTTAGCGGCAATGCCAGCTTCCCAAGCTATGCTATGACGAAATATAACTCACCCTACACGTCCTAAGTGGAGCGAACACACAGCGTCAGAACGTATGGAAAATTCCCTAAACTCCGCTAAGTGAAGATGGAAATGAAATGAAAAAGAAAGGATTTCTAGAAATAGATGATCCTGAGCTCATATCCAATAATAGACCAGGAAAGGTCACTCACCAGCACCCAGTCCTAGATCTGGGCGGCAAGCGGACACGAACAGGCATTTTCACCTTCGGGTCGTCGCTCTTTTCCAATGCTTCCCCCCAATCAGTTGATATAGTTGCACTATCTTTTGGTGCAATTAGTGGTAAGGGTGTAGCGCGCTTTGGTGAAGGATTCGTGCGTCG